GGTCACCAGTGGCATCTCCCGGCTGGAGTGGAGGGTGGCAACCTCCGGAATCCTACTGGAGCCCCAGAATCCTTCCTGGGAATTCAACCGCGGGAGCCGAGCTCACGTGTGGGACCTGCCGTGGATGCAGGGCAGCCGAGGAAGTGATGCACGGGAGAGGCATCGTTCGCATCCAGTGAGTCAGGACAAGTGGGAAGGAGGAGGATAGTCTGTTTGGTAAATAAACCTATCACCATTCCTTTGGATGCCTCACTTCCCACTCAGGAAAAACGGTATAAAAGTTGGTGGATCTCGGGGTGCTTCATTCGCTCAGCTTTGCCCTGAGGTGTCCGTGGTCAGAGCCGAGAAGGGTAAGTCCAGGTCTGCCCAAGGGAGGGATTCTTCTTGTCCTTTCCTGCTTCCAAAATGCAAAAGTTTTGGAAAAAAACATCTGGTGGGTGGCGGTGGTAGGGCAGGGAAGTTGCTGGGATGAATTTAAATCTCTTGTGGATGCAATGGCTTTGGGATAAGGCGATGGGACAACTTTGGGATAAAAATCTTTAAAAGATGATCCTGGACACTACAAAGTGGTGTTGGTCTGGACTGGGGTCACAGGCCTTGGGAAATTCTCGTGAGAACTGGTGGCTGCCCTGGAGTAAAAAGCTTCTCCTTGCAGGGTCACTGCTCCAAGATGTGCTCCAGACAAAGTGGGTGCCACGGCTGCGGCTGCTGCTGCTGCTGTCGGGGCAGTTACCAGTCCCAGGGCTCCTCCAGCGGGGGAGGAGGCGGATCCTGCTGCGGTGGAGGATCCTCCGGAGGATCGGCCCAGAAGATCATTATCAGCTCTGGCGGTGGAGGAGGAGGAGGAGGCTCCTCCGGATGCTGCGGAGGGGGATCCGGTGGTGCTGTGGTGGAGGATCCGGTGGTGGCTCCTCAAAGAGCATGATGGGAGGTGGAGGTGGTGGAGGATCCTCCGGATGCTGTGGTGGCGGATCCGGCGGTGGATCTTCAAAGAGCATGATCGGAGGTAGTGGAGGATCCTCTGGATGCTGTGGTGGAGGATCCAGTGGTGGCTCCTCTGGGATGAAGATCATAATGGGAGGTGGAGGCGGTGGTGGATCCTCTGGATGCTGCGGTGGAGGATCCGGCGGTGGCTCCTCAAAGAGCATGATGGGAGGTGGAGGTGGTGGTGGATCCTCTGGATGCTGCGGAGGAGGATCCAGTGGTGGCTCTTCTGGGATGAAGATCATAATGGGAGGTGGAGGCGGTGGTGGATCCTCTGGATGCTGCAGTGGCGGATCCGGTGGTGGATCTTCAAAGAGCATGATGGGAGGTGGAGGTGGTGGAGGATCCTCTGGATGCTGTGGTGGTGGATCCAGTGGTGGCAGTGGGGGATCAGCCCAGAAGATCATCATCAGCTCTGGCGGTGGAGGAGGAGGAGGAGGCTCCTCTGGATGCTGCGGAGGGGGATCTGGTGGTGGCTCTTCAGGAGGGAAGATCATCATGGGAGGCGGAGGCGGTGGCGGATCCTCCGGATGCTGCGGTGGTGGATCCAGTGGCGGTTCCTCGGGCCAGACCATCATCATCAGCTCTGGAGGTGGCAGCGGAGGCTCCTCCCAGCAGAAATGTCCCATTGTCATCCCCAGCGTGGTGTCCCACCAGACCAAGCAGAGCTCCCACTGGCCCTGCCAGCAGAAGTAGCCCTGGACAGCTCTGGTTCTCATCGGGAACAGCCGAGTCTTTGCCCTCCAAGTCTGCCCCCAGCACATCCCCATCCCTTGTGTTCCCTTGGTGCTGCATCCCTGTGCTGTGAACTCCCAGGTGGCTCCTCTGTGCCATAAATGTGACGGGAAATAAAGATTTCTGTGCACGGACAGAACTGGTTTGTGAGGTTGCTTTTCTCCTTTGTCAGTTTGCTTCCCAAAAAAATGTGTAAAACATCCAAAACATTCTGCTGGGAAATGTTCTCCAGCCTCCAGTGTTGGAGCAGGCACTCATCAACAGATCTTTCCTATATCCAGACTAATTTTCCCCTCTTTCATCCTGAACCCATTCCCTGTGTCCTGTCCCTGCAGTTCCTGAGGAAAAGTCCCTCTCCAGCTTCACTGGAGCCCCTGCAGGTCCTGGGAGGGGCTCTGGGGTCTCCACACAACTTCCTCTCCTCCAGGCTGAACATTCCCAGCCCTCCCAGCCTGGCTCCATAGGGGAGGGGCTCCTGTTATCAACTTCATGGCCTCCTCTGGACTTGCTCCAACAATTCCATGTCTTTCCTATGTTGGGGACACCAGAACTGGACACAGCATTCCCAGTGGGATTTCACCAGAGCAGAAAAATCCCTCCCTCACCATCCTGCCCTCTCTCCTTTGGATGCAGCCCAGAGACAGTTGGCTTTCCTCTCAAAGCTGGAAAATCCTCTTAAAAAGGATTCCCAAAGTCCTCTTTGGAACTGGTGGGATTAGTCTTGAGTCCAGTAAACTTTAAGCCCAGGAGGTTTTTGTTCACCTCACAAACACACCTGGTAGGGAGGAAACAAAATTAGGAATTACAGGGATCATCAACCATGAAACTCTTGAGGGATCACGACAGACAGATTCCTGCTTTTTGGAGAAAACTAAAGAGTTCTTCTCCAGGATTGTGCCCCACATTCTCAGCATCACAATGTGTGAGGGAGTCTGGTGGGAAAAGGGATCCAGGGTGCTGTAGGATCTGGCCAGGGATTTGTCCTCTCTCATATCAACCACCCACCCAGGTGTTTGCCATGAGGAGATGAAGAGGCACCATGACCTGCCAGCCCTTCCCAAGGGCTCCAGGACTGCAGGGAAAAGGGCCCAGCAGAGCATCACAAAACTGAGAACATGGCCCCGAAGCCTTTTACATCCCCATTTCTCTTTACCCAACACAAGTATCCAAAATCTACCTCCCTAATCTGGAGAGGATGTGGTAGTGATGACCTTGTGCTCCAGTCATGTTTTTCCTACATCTCTGGCAAACAAATCCATGGGCTACAGGTCCAGTGCTTCCAGGGGTCCCATCCTGGGCTCTCCACACTCTGTGGTTTGCAGGAGCTCCTCTCACCACCCCTCCAAAAACCTCCACGGCCTTTCCTCATGCCTGGGTCAGGACGAGCTGCTCATGATGGGTGTCCCTCTGTGCCAATGAGCTGCTAATCCTGAGTCTGGCTAGTCCTAAATCCTAATCTGGGCAAGTCCCTACAGGCTGAAGGCATGGAAGGGATCAAAGTGTTGAGATCCTCAGGAGTACAACACCCACACGTCAGAGCTGGGAGCCAGAACAGCGGTGACACCTCAGATCTGGAGATGAGAACAGAGATAAGGCCACGGGAGGAACTCCAAAGCCGAACGAAGGAAGCCCCTGCACGTGTGTCCCCGCCGCTGGTGGCCCTGTCCCCATCCCAAGGGCATCGCATGCGCGTGTTCAAAGTCACGTTTGTGGTGACAAGTGGGACCTGCTGCTGCTGTCACTCGTCCCCACAGCCAAAACCCCTATTAGTCCTTCCTCTACTCAGTGTTCCGGGAGGGCGGATGCTGCTGTCAGGCTCCAAACACGCGTGACACAGAGCTGGTGCTGGGACAGCTGTGCTGACAAACTGTCATCCTCCAGTAGGGAACGTATCCAGGTGACTCCCCTGCTCAGGTGTGGGTGGGGTGGCCACTGAAGACCCTCAGAAATGGATCTTGTTGAGGTAGAAGGGGGGTTTAACGTCCTGGTGTTCAAGGGTCAGGTCTTGATGGCCTTCAAGTGCAACTTTGAAAACAGAAGGATTCTCAGGTTTTCCCCACTCCTGCCTGGAGACTGAGACCCCTGGAAGCTGGAGCTGAGCACAGACATCTGTGGAAATCCAACAGCCACTTCCACCTTGGTGTCACAAAAGACTGGAGGGAAAATCCCCTTTGTCACTGTCACCCTCACAGCGTCCTCTGACACAGATCTGGGCAGCTCCAAAGCAGGGAACTCCTTGGGGTGGCACCTCTGGCCTTTCCCAGCAGGATGGACGTACTCCTGCTCCCTGTCTTGCCAATCCTTGAGGGAATTCTCCAAAATTCTCTGTGATTCTGCTCAAGCACATCCTTTATCCTGGTCCTTCCATCACTCTCTGTCTCCAACTCACTCCAATCCCCATTGCTGGGCATCTGCTCAGTCCCCACTCTGTCCTGAGCACCCAGGGAGCTCCATCCCAGCAGAAACATGTTGGACCCTCCCCAAAACAGACCCCCAGATGTCGTTTGTCCCAAAAACTCAGAGCGAGGCTCCCGGAAGGGAATCATTAAGGGGAATTAGCGACTGCGATACAGAACGGGGCTGATGCGCCTCCTTCGCATCACCTCTGCTGCAAGTGAGTCAAGGAAGGAGGCAGCTGAGGCCAAGCTCTGTCAATAAATCTCTCAGCATTCCTCAGGGTGTCTCACTTCCCTCGGGAGCGCAATGCAGCCAGTATAAAAGCTCAGCTATCCCAGGGCTCCTCACTCAACCCACACCGAGCATCGCGACGTTCCCACCAGCACTCAAGGTAAGCCCGTGGATACGGAAACTTCTGGAACCTCTACGCAGGGAGATCCCTCCACCAGTTTGTCTTTGGGTGTTCTTTGAACTGTGGTGGCTCCACCAAAAACCAAGTGGAGGTGCCAACAGAACTCCCTTCCTTAGACAGGGGCGTTGCAGGTGGAACCCTGAAAGCTGAACTTTCAGCTGCTGAGTCAGTGTGAGACATCCAGAAGGATCCACACCATTTTTTAGGCATGTCAGAGCATGTGTGCAAACCTCGGGAAGTGTTCCCAACCTTCCTGCACACAGAGGGTTCCCGGAACTGTTCTGACCTGCAGAGAGCTCCCTGGGATGTCACGGCAGGTCTCAGGGTGGGAGTTCAAAGTAGGGCTGAAGAAGATGGGACAAAATGGGGCAAGTCTTAGGAACTCCTTTCTTTGTCTGCTGGGAAGGCTCAGCTGCATCTCCAAGATTCTCCTTTCTGACAGTCCCGCTCCTTGCAGGGTCACTGCTCCAAGATGTGTTCCAGACAAAGCTCCGGAGGCTGCCATGGGATGTCCTCCCAGTCCAGCGGGTGCCACAGCGGAGGCTCCAGTTACCAGTCCCAAGGCTCCTCCTGCTGCGGGGGCGGAGGGGGCTCCGGCAAAGTCATCATCAGCTCTGGTGGTGGAGGAGGGGGATCCTGCTGCAGTGGGGGCTCCTCTGGATATGGGATAGGAGGGGGATACGGTGGTGGCTCGTCAGGATCAAAGAGCATCATTGGAGGTGGAGGTAGTGGAGGTTCCTCTGGATGCTGCAGTGGGGGCAGCTACGGGATGGGCGGAGGATATGGTGGATCTTCTGGATCAAAGACCATCATTGGAGGTGGAAGCAGTGGAGGTTCCTCTGGATGCTGCAGTGGAGGATCCAGCTATGGGATGGGTGGAGGATATGGTGGATCTTCGGGATCAAAGAGCATCATTGTAGGGGGAGGTTCCTCTGGATGCTGCAGTGGGGGCTCCTCCAGCTATGGAATGGGTGGAGGATATGGCGGATCTTCGGGGTCAAAGAGCATCATTGGAGGTGGAAGCAGTGGAGGTTCCTCTGGTTACTGTGATGGAGGATCTTCAGGATATGGCATGGGTGGAGAATGTGGTGGTGTGTCTTCAGGAACCAAGATCATATTGGGAGAGGGAAGCAGTGGTGGATCCTCTGGATGCTGCGGTGGAGGATCCAGCTATGGGATGGGTGGAGGATATGGTGGATCCTCGGGATCAAAGAGCATCATTGTAGGGGGAGGTAGTGGAGGTTCCTCTGGATACTGTGGTGGAGGATCTTCAGGATATGGCATGGGAGGAGGGTACGGTGGTGGCTATTCAGGAGGGAAGACCATCATTGGAGGAGGAAGCAGTGGTGGATCCTCTGGATGCTACGGCGGAGGATCCGGCTATGGGATGGGAGGAGGATGCAGCAGCAGCTCCTCAGGCCAGACCATCATCATCAGCTCTGGAGGTGGCAGCGGAGGCTCCTCCCAGCAGAAATGTCCCATTGTCATCCCCAGCGTGGTGTCCCACCAGACCAAGCAGAGCTCCTACTGGCCCTACGGCCAGCAGAAGTAACAGCCCTGGGCAGCTCCGGTTCTGAGTCCCTGCCACGGCTCCTCTTTGCCTGGCTCTGCTGCCTGGTCCTTCCCAGCGTGTCCTCTCCTGTCCCCTGGATGCTGCACCCTCGTGTGAGATCTCCAGGATTGCCCTGCTGTGCCCTGCTCCTGGTGTTGGGGTGCCTTTGATAATGTTCTGCCACTTTTGACACCCAATAAATGTTACAATTGCTCAAAATCTGCCCCTTTTTTGGGAGTTCATTTCTTTCTTGCACTACCAACCTGCACTTCGTGGTCTTGGGATGTAGAAATGTCTCTGATGAGATGTTTCCCTCTAAAGCCAGCCAGTTTATCCTCCCAGAGGTTTTTCACCTTCATTTTCCACCTGGGCTCTGTGAGGGAGAAACGGAAGACCCCAAAATTTGAAGGAACCACAGCACCAACACCCTTTGGTGCCTGGGCATGGTGCAGGCCCTCTGTGTCCTCTGAGGTGCCAGCACACAATGACCACCTCTGTGGACCTGATAGGAGATGTGACCAGGCCCACCAGGCTCAGTCGGGAAGAGCAGGGATTGAGGATGACCCAACAGCAGCTGGTGATGCCCCAGGTGGGCAATAAAACATCCATGACAACATCCACAGCCTTGCCATCCTCCCTGTTCCTGCAGCAAGCTGAGGGAACACCCTCAGCTGTACCAGGGGAGGGCTCAGGGTGGACACCAGGAGGAATTTCCTCATGGAAAGGGTGGTCAGGCCTTGGATCGGGCTGCCCAGGGAGGTTTGGAGTCCCCATCCCTGAAGGTGTCCAGGGAAGGACTGGATGGGGCACTCAGTGCTCTGGGCTGGCTGAAAAGCTGGGACAGGCTGGACTCGATGGTCTGGGAGGGCTTTTCCAACCTCAGGGATTCTGGAATTCCATGATCTATACCCAGAGGGAAGCCTCACCTGCCAACCAGCAAACCCAGACCCCGGCCGGGCAGGCGGGAATAAAACCAGCATCAAATCCCTCAGGCACTCCCAAATCTTCCTCCGGGACTCAAATCCCCCCCTTCCCAGGCTTTGCACCCTGCTCTGGCAGCCCCCCCGCCCCACGCACGGATTTATGCCAGGGGATTGGGCTTTGGCCAAAACTGGGACTTTTTGTCACCACAGCAGAACTCCCCGGAGCTGGTCCAACTTCCAGGAGCTGCTCTGCCGGGCCGGGCTGGAGCAGCCGGGGTCTGCGACCCCCACCAGGCCCCGGTGCTGGTTCCAAACCAGAGGAAGGAGATGAAAAAGAAGGAAGGGAGGGATGTGGAGGCATAATCCTTCATTAAAGCGTAATCCAGCCAGGCTGGGTTTAACCATCGGGACATTCACACCTCCGCAAATTCTGCCTTTAAACTCTCTTCGGGCACCTCCGGCACCCTTGCAAAATTCCCGCTTAGCGCATCAATCACTTTGAACGGCCTTCTGGTTCATATGCAAATGTTTTCCTCTGAAAAAGTTCCCCCTGGAGCCACCGGGGAGGGATCAGGTTGTCACCAGAGCTTTGGGAGCTGTTCCTCTCCTCTGCCCCACTGTCCCCGCTCTCGCTGTGCGTTCTACACCCACACCCCCCACCGACCTCTCCCGGGGCTGGGGGCAGGAGGATTCCTGCGTAGCCCAGGGCAGGGGCACAGGAATAGGCTCATTAGGCAGAAGTAACAATTACAGCAGCGAAATGAGCGGTGTGAAGGGAGATATGGATCGGGAGTCAAAGCAAACACTGAAATGGCAGTTTGGTAAATAAATCCTTCTCATTCCCGAGGGTGTCTCACTTCCCATACACGTTAAACGCCATATAAATGTCCCTGAGGCTGTTTAAGCTCCTCATTCAGTCGACCTTTACCTTCTAAATGTGTTTCCGATGGCTGAAGAGGGTAAGTCGGGGGTTTTTTTCTGGGATTTTATCCTTTCCTAGTCAGGGGATGCAGCTCATTTGATACCTTGGCTCGTGCTGGCAGCAGGACCCCTCTGCCTTGGACCAAATCCTCGGGATCTGGGTGGGCTCCAGATCCGTTCTGGGTCCAGCCCCTGCGGAGAAAGGTGAAATCAGGGCACCAGAGCGGGATGCAGAGGGATGAGCAGGGTAAAAACCCGGATGGGTCTGTGGTGGGGCCGGCACGTGGGGACTGCACAACCTCTGTGGGTTTGAATGTGTGGGTTTGAATTTTTATATTAATTAATAACAATTCCCTGAGCTGGACCTCAGAACGACCACGAGCCTCTGTGTCTGGGCCAATCACCTTCTATAAAAGAATTTTGGGGCTGCAGTAACAGAGCCAGGATGGAAACTTTTATTCATTGCTCTTGCAACAACTGAGGAACAGAAATGAGGATGATCCTCGGTGTTTTTGCAGCTCTGTGGACATGAAAATGAGTGGGGAAAGCCATGGCAGTTACTAGAGGGGAAAATAATACCTTTCAGATTTTATATTTCAGATTTTGGATTCAGAACATATTTCAGCTTTTGAATTCTCTGGAAATAGAGGTAGAAAGAGGAAAACTATCCCAGGAAGAGCCCAGATATCCTTGGATTTGAAGGATAGGGGTTTGGAGCAAACTGGTCTAGCAGAAGGTTTCCCTTCCCATGGCAGGGGGTGGCATTGGATGAGCTTTAAGGTCTTTTCCAACCCAAACCACCCCACAATTCCACAGTTCTCTAACATCTCACTTTCAAAGCCTGGAACTGCCCCAGTCCCTGACCACACCACTCGGCACCTCCCCATCTGCCCTGGCGCCAACACGAAGCAGAAACGGTGCAAATTTCGGGATGTTTTCCTTTCTTCTTCCAGCTTTACCACTATCTGCGGCGGAAATGCTCCCGGCGGAACCGGGGCTACAGCCGGGAGATTTCCCTGAGCCACCGCGGATTCTGCTCCGGGGCCTTCGCCAACCGCCACGGCCGCGCCTCCTTCTCCTACGACGGGGAAGGCTCCGTCACCTACAGCCGGCGACCCTCGTCCTGCCCGCCCCCGCCAGCGCCAGCCCCCTTCAGCATCTCAGGGAGGTTCTCGTGTGACACCGACGGGTCCCTCGTGGTGGCCAGTGGCGACTGTGGGGTCACATCTGGCTGGGACCCCGTGGTGGGGACGGTCCCGGTCTACGGCTCCGGAGTGGGAATGGGGTACGGCAGCGAGGACGTGGTGCCGGTCATCAGCAGCGCAGGGGGAGGTGGAGGATCCATCTACCACGGAGGAAATTCGGGAATGGCCGAGGGAGCAGGGGCTGGGTATGGATACTCTGCACCCCTAAGTGACACCCTGAGCACCGGGGGGGTCTCTGAGGGCTCAGGGTACTACGGTGGAGGGTATGGATATGGGGCGTATGGAACTGGGGTCTTCCCTGGCCCGGAGCTTGGCCCTGCGGGCGGGGGATGTACCCAGATGGTGCAGGAGAAATGCCCCGTGGTGGTCCCCGCCATCAAGACCCAGCAGTGCAAGCAGAGCACCCACTGGCCCCCCATCCAGAAGAAGTGACTGCCCAGCAGCCTCTCCCACATCCCTGAAGTGCCCCTGGATGTGCCACAGTGGAATTTTCACCCCTGATGGTGCCACTACATCACAGAGCTCAGCATTCCTCACATGGGGCTGTGCTGACAACGGTCCTGCTGTTGGAGCTGCTGGAAAAAGGGGCTTGTGCTGTGGTGATGGGGAAAGAGTCTTTTCTCCATCTCCTCTGGATCACGGGTTGGAAAATAAAACCTCACCGTCTGTGGGTAGTTTCAATATTGGGATGATTTCTTTCATTTCTGGCTCCACTCAAAATGCAAATGGGTCCTCAAGGAACCTCCACAACACAAAGCACCTTTTTCATATGTACTTTACACCCAATTTGAATGTAAATTTTATGTTAATACAATTAATATACATCACTGTCAACTGCCAGAGAAGTTCAGGTGGTGCCAGACTCTTCCCAGTGGTGCCCAATGACGGGACAAGTTTAAACCAAACCCCAATTCCACCTCAGAAAGAGGGAGAATTTATTTCCATGGAGGTGGCAGAGCCCTGGAACAGCTGCCCAGGGAAGGAGTGGGGTCTCCCCTTCCAGAGACATCCCAAACCCACCTGGACATGTCCCTGTGCCCCCTCCTCCCTCAGGAGATCTCCAGAGATCCCTCCCAACCTCAACGACTCCAGAATCCTGGGATTCTGCTCTTAACCTGGCTCTTGCTGGAGCTGCTGTTCCCATCCCATGGAGCCCCCACGAGCCTCATTAAGGAGATCTGCCAATCTCCCGGGGGATTTCCGACTGATTATTATTTACAGCGTGACCTGGCAGTGAAAGGTTGTTTACCTGGCACCAGCACCCGGCTCCTGCCCCAGAGATTGCCGGGGATGGCGAAACCCTGAGCACGTAGAACCTTGTGCATGAGGCAACTCCAAGGAGCTGCTTGGCTTCCTCCCCATAACCTGCTCATGGCATTTTTTGATAGGATCAGGCCCTAAATTAGGCACGGGGAGAGGACGGTTCCAGTGCTGGTTGGGACGTGAGGTTTGCCCAACATTTAATCTTCTCTGGGGTTGTTTGACTCATCCAAATACTTGTCAGGAAGGTTAAAAAAAACACCCACAGATCTGGGTCCATTTAAAAGTGAGACATAAAAATCACATTGTTTTTTTACCTTTTTTTTTCACCCACCTGGGGGGATTTTGACTTTTTCGACTCAATAAAAATCCAGAAAATTTTGCCCTGAAACACCAAAGACCCAAATCCTCTGAGCTCTAAACCCGTGTTTGATGCCACAGGATCCTTCGCACATAAAGTGTCGTAAGACCATCATGTGGGGACAATTACACAAGATTCTGTCACCAGCCCTATTAAATTCCATTCTAAAATTAGGCAGCGTTATCATTTATTTGCTTTTATTTCTATTTCTAAGATCTACCACTTCATTATTGATATTTCTGTGGGTTTCCTTCCTTCCTTCATTAAGGGAGCAAAAAATCTCTGAAATCTCAAACAAAATTCCCAGAGAATTCAGAAAACCAAGCCCAG